TCTCTGTGGGTCCTTATGTAACGGTGCGGTGTTAGTCAGGATCGCCCGTTCTACATTGTGTGGCGCTGCTGCCTTGTCTCCTAGTTACTTGTTTCCATAAGTACACGTGTGTTATTCTCCAATGTGCTGTACTACACATCTAAATATGCTTTTTTAAGATGAAAAATAATGTGTATTTAATATAATAAGTCTGAAAACAGGGCAAAAGAGGCTACCCTGGTCCCACTAGTCAGAGATAATAATTTACACTTTGACATCTATTTTCTGTTCTTTTCGTCAGTGTATATCACCTCTGTCATAAAAACCAGCGACCGCTCTGTGCCTGTTAACTATGTGGAGACCTCCATTTTCCATTTGGCTTATTACATGTTTTTCAACAATATTCTATCTCACCTGGCATGATTTTTAATGACCAGTATAACATTCTGTCTTGTGGACACATCATCCATTTTACTTCGGACTTAAATAAACTTAAATTCCAAGTATACTTAACTGAAATACTGAAAAGAGAACTGTGGTGGTACAGAAAGGCCCTTAGCTCCTTTCCCCTTATTTCCTGAGAGTAAGAGCTGTTGACAATGTGGTGTATATATTTCATGACCTATTTGCCTATGACATATATATATGTATATATAAACACACACACACAGAAACACACACAAGTATATGAGATATCTATGTATATGTGTATGTATATATGCTTTATTGAAAAATGAGACCATACTGTATGTTTCTCTACTGCTCACTATATTCACTCAGGGGTGTATCATAGACGTCCTCCCACTACAGACTCACCCGGTCCTTTCAGATATAGTGGAGGGGTCTCCTGATGTGAGGGTGTGGTCTCTTGTGCAAGGACACCTTTGGTGGGAGAGTGCTGTGAACAAGGCCCTTTACCACGCCCAAACGCCGGCTCCCTCAGGGCCCGCAGCTCACCGTGATTTACCGCATCATTGTCTTCATGATGGACGCTTAGGTTTTCTCCAATTTCCACTGTCAGAAATGATGTTTGACTGGCATCCTTCTTGTACAGACATTCCTGTGATCTTGTAC